TCTCAACATAATATAAAATGAATAAATAAATAAATGGAAATTAACGTGCAATGCCTTTATTCATTGCACCCCAAGCACAGGAACAGATTTACTAATATATTGATAAAGTCTTTGTTCATAAACTGATTTTCTTCTTTTATTAGCAACATTTATTAGATAAAAATGATTATTATCAAACACCTATTTTATATCAGGAGCTTCTAAACACTGGACTATATGGTAGAGGAAAAAAGTCACAAAATATATATTACCAAAAAGTAAATCAAGTTATTAAAAAAAATCAAGGAACCCCAAAGATTTCAAACTGGCAGGAATCTGTGTCCTGAAGCATTGAGTGAAGTCCTGCTTGCATTGTGGTGTCTTGTTCATGAGCCTAAGGGTTCAGTAGCTACAATCACAAGAGACCTGCCTCCCCATGTGTGCTTTTTGCTAATGACAAGGCCTGGAACAGAAGAGAATCAAAGTGTCAGCCTCTTCCTTCATGTGGAGCATAATTAATATGGATCCACAGACAATTCAATTTTGCTTGCTCTCTTTTTCAAACAACTAAAGGCACAATCATTTGTTCTTGGTGTGTTCTTATGTTCGTTTATTTAGTGATGTCACAAATTTGTTTCTTAATTTATGTCAGAGCTCGCTAGTACTGATTCTCTCTCTCTCTTTCTCTTTGTGTGTGAGTGTGTGTGTGTGTGTGTGTGTGTGTGTGTGTGTGCATGCAGGTGTGTATGTCCCAGAGTATGAGTGTGGAGGTTATCAGAGTGCATTAGATGTCAGTCCTCACTTTCTCTTTTGAGGCAGAATCTCTCATTTGCTGTTCTATATTCCAGCTTATTTGGCCTGTGAACTCTGAAGGATCCTCTATCTTCACCTCCCATCTTGCCAAATAAGGGTGCTTCTTCTGGCTTTGTGTGTATATTGGGATTTGAACCCAGGTCTTCAAATTGCATCCCAAATGTTTCACCTACTAAGTCATTTCCCTAGCCCCAGACTCTTCTATTCCTAAGTGTACAGTATACTCACAAAATACACAACAGTAAAACATACAGCAAAAAATAAATACGGTTTTACATAAAATATGCCAGTGTCAGTGGTTTTCTGGCATTTTGGGATGCTACTAGTTTGCTTATTCACAGTGACAAAAATCAGGGGGAAAACCTAAATTCAGTTAAAGAACAGAAGGGATTATTTAGCTATTTTAAAGCCTTCTCAGAATCAGAAGACAAGAACAAGCAGTTTTTTATTTGCTTTTGATGCGTATCTGTCATTACATGTCTGTACATCCACCCATACAAGCCTCAGAGCATCACAGAGCTCAGATCTAGAACCTGGTCATTATTTCTGCATAGTCTATATATAGACTTACTGCGGCCAGTGACCCATGTCCAAACAATTCCTGTAACATTGTCATCTGGATGGGTCCTTCTGTTTGTTAATTAATGGAATTTGTTTCATATAACCCAGTAACTGCGCTGTACATTTTATTAACCACTGAAGGCAGAAAGCAGGAGATGTCTCTGGGAGGGGAGAGCTCACAACAGAAACACCAATCTTAAGAAGCAGGTGCCCTCAGATTTTTCTTGCAGGAATTATGTGTGATTCTGTCTGATTTTACGAAGTTCCTGCTGAGCATGGGTTGGGTGCCTATGCATCTCAACATCCCAAGGAGAGAACAATGGACTCATTGCTTAACCCATCACTGAGACAGCTGGACTCTGGCAAGGACTGTTGAACAGCAGGAGCTGCTGTGAACTGCATCCTAAAGGAAGGCAGGGTGCAGCATTCATCCAAAGGCAGACCTCAGCCCCACCTTTATGGATACAGTCTGCAGGTGCACCCATCTCAGATCTGCCAAATGCCAGGGAACACCACTCTTCCTCTGGGGTAGGTGATTCATGAGTCAAGGTGGCTGGTTTACCAAAGATGGCGTTTCTTGGCATTGGCTCTAGAAATGGTGCTACGAGCCCAAGCCTTCAAAATAGCATGTAGCAACACGTTGCCAAAGGCACCCTCATTGCTCTGGGTTTGAAACGCTACAAACTGTATTTCTATTACCTCATTGATCTCACAGACTGTGTTTCTCATCTAAAAGATGAGAAACTCCTTAGAGTCAGTATGAGACTGGCGACACCGATGATCACCGAGTAGAAGGAAGATGAACATCTCTGTTCGATCTATCTCAGATATTTGCTGCCATTGATATCAAAGATTGCAGTTTTATTGCTTGTGTTTGTAGCTAAAACCGAATGGAAATTCAATCACCTCAAACTTAGTGTGTTTCAATTTTGACTGTTCAAGAACTCTTTAAGTTTGGGGTGGTGCCTATTACTCTCCAGCTATGGAGTTTTCCAAATTAATTTTGTTGGTGTGTTCACAGAGAGCCCTGTTTCCACAAATCCATAGCTATCAGCTTGCCCAGCTGAGCTCTTAGGAGCAGGGGGAGGAATTAAGGTTGGGTTTCTGCTCATCTCCTGCCAAATCCACTCTCCTCCATTGTATTTGTTTTCTTGTGAGATTCAGGGATGAAGTGAGAAAACATCACCTGTTGCCATAGAGAACAGCATCCCAGACTTTCTTTTGCTCACTTGACATTTAAGAACATATGTAGCAGAAGCACAGTAAGTAGGTGAAATTTGACTAGATTTCTCAGATATCTCTGTCTTGAGTAGACACATGCATTTTTTGAGTAGTGATTCACAAGACTTATTATCTGATTGTGTATTGATGATTCAGCCTTTGCATTGACCTTCCTGTTGGCAGTCATCTGTGTGTAATTTATTCCATGAATTATACAGTGATAACAGCCTGTGAAGGGGGAGGCTTGGGTACCCTCTCCAACTTTCCTGTTCAACACTTGTGAATTTATTCCATCTTTGCAAAGTCCACCCTGCTAAGTCCTCAAATGAAAGTACTTTGGTTTGGGGGGGGTTGGTTTTTGTTTGTTTTGTTTTATCCCTGAACACGTTCAATTTATCCCAGAGTTGAGGAAAGTGTCCTGCAATAGCTGAGGAAACCTAATACCATTGGTTTTGCCAAGTGATTATCACTTCTGGATTGGTTTGTAAAACATTTCCTTGTGGGGTGGTGGAGTGTCTGGAATCTACTGCCTTTGGTAGAAATCATTTTGAGTTATTGAAAACAGATGAATCAATTCATATTTATGTATAATATGTGCCACAGCTTCCATGGGGAGATAAGCTCCTTCAACAATGACTTCATTGTGCACTACAGTAGCAGAGGAACTAGCAGGACAGCATGGACTCTCCAGCCTGTATCATTGTCTTCATTCTTTTGTTCATTTATATTCACAGGTGGAAGCAACACAGAAATTCAGAAAATTGGCAGAAATAAACTCAAAGTACTTTAAAGGAACACAAAATATTTAAGAATTTGACATTTCTTTCCAATGACTAAGAAGATATAATTAGCTATTCAAGGCATATTGGTGATTGATTCTGTTAGGGGTCACGGGTACAAATAGACAAATGAACCATGTCTGCTGAAGACATTATTGTTGTTCTCACTCACAACTGAGAAGAGATGATAGATCTGAATTCTTTGTTAGGGGGATGCTCAGGCTTTATATGAGCAGAGAATAGAAAAGGATCCACTTTGTACTTAGGTCTGATAAGTAGGGAAAGCTTTTCTGAATTTAACACAGTAGCTAAGAAGTTGAAATGCTGATGAATAGGTGCTGCATAGATTATACACATCTATGATTAAAACATCTCTATTCATCTAGGCAGTGATGATGTACCCTTTAATCCCAGTACTCCAGAGGCAGAGGCAGGCAGATCTCTATAAGTTTGAGGGCAGCCTGGTCTACAATGCTACACAGGAAAACCCTGTCTTGAAAAAAAAGTCTCTGCTCAATGGAGGGATATTTTAACAGTTCTATGTTAGTGTCCTGCACAATGTATACAGATAGAAACAGGAGGGGAGTCTGGTCATTGGGGACCTGCTCTACCATGGTAAGGACCATGATTTTACTTTTAAGGAGGAAATGTATTTTGTTGAACTATGACAATAACAGGTGTACATTAAGGGAATATCTCCTAGTGGTGATTTAGACAGTGGATAATGCAAGGTTGTAAATTTCCTCGGTGAGTGTTGTTCCAGTAGCATGAGACAAAGGGTGAGGCTTGACAAAAGACTCAGGAGGCAACAATATACTGCAACTAGACTCTGTTTTAGTCAAGGGTGGTGCTGAGGTATAACATGTTTCCTGAAGGGGCCATGTCAGAGATGATGGTATTTCTTAAGATTAGGGCATGGGGTGTGGTGACTACAGTCCTCTGAGGGCTCCTACCACAGCTCAGACCAAGAAACTTGACCAAAACTCAGAGTTGAAACTTTGATGAGGGATCCTTGAATCAACTACTTGACAGTTGTCTGTGTTGGAGGGGTTGTTGGTGTAAGAATGCATATAGTTTACAGGTGTTTCCCAAAAACTTCTACCAATGTGCAAGGCATTTCAGAAGCCCATGATTTTAGACAAGGAAACAGTAATGAGTCACACATTCTGCAGTTTCCTCAGTTTCCCTTACCTCTCTATCCTGCAATCCACCCTGACCCATAGTGCCCAAATTCTGGCATGTCACTTATAAAGCTTCCTGTCCCAACTCTATCTGGCAACATTTCCCAGGCCATCTGTCCGTTCTCTGAATCACAGCTCTGGCTTCCTCTAAGAATTTCTAAAGAAACATATTTCCCCTTTCTGCAGAATGCTCCTACTTCAGCTTCCATAGCAGCTAGTGTGCGTGTGGAAGGCACACTTTTTCTATGGGAAGCTTACACTTTTGTTACAAAGCCATCCTTTGACAGAATCTGTGGAGAGCTGTGTCACACCGCGCCTTAAAGATGGCACCAGCTTCCGCATTCCGCCATCCTGAGGGTGAGTGCTCTCGGTAACAAACAACTCCTTATTTGGCTAGCTCCTATCCCGCCAGGGTCACGCCATGATCATCAGATTGCTTATGCGCGCGTGCTGTTGCACCAATGGCTTATGCGTACGTGGCCGTTCAGGGTTGGCTGGCCTCGGCTATTTAGGGAGCAGGAGGGGTTTCTCCCGCGGCTGCCTTTCCACTGTTTATCAAGGTCCTGAATAAACTGTCTGCAAGAAGGGTTCCTGAGTCGCGTCTTCCTTGCTGGTCAAGGTGGTCGTTACAAGAATCAGACACATTAATCTCCTTCTTCAGAGAAATTGAAACAGTGAGTTTGAATTAATTGAATCAATTGCATTTGCATGATTCACTGGCTTGATACTGTCTAACCAGACAGACATCTTACCTAGGCATCCATTGTTTGGTCTGTTAACTGCACGCTGAAGTGTGTCCAGGGATGAGAAAGGAAAGGACTCTATGCAAGAGCTGATGGGGTGTTTGTTTCTACAACTCTCTTTAAATCTATAAAATTGTGTGTGTGTGTGTGTGTGTGTGTGTGTCTGCATGTGTGTGTGCAGTGGTTTTTAAAGCTAAAACCCAGCAAGAATCAAAAATTAGGACACAGCATCAAAAAAAAAAAAGCTAATAGGGAAAGAACTGATTCACAAGGTCTGAGAAAGATGGACCTAGAATGATTTCGGAGCAGATGAGCACCTGGCTTCTTCCAGAGAACTCTCAATTCCCTGGAAGTCAGCCAAAAAGACAGGGCTATAAGCAGACATTGACCAAAGGCTTCTAAGTAGTGAGCCCTTCCTCTATCTCCTGGCATACCATGCCAATCTGTGTGACCTATAATCACATTCCAGGCAAATAGAGTTTAAGGATCACTGGAATGTCAGGTTTCAGGCTTCACTATTGGCTACTGATTTTATTTTGAAGATAAGGGGATGAGTCAGAGTTTAAAACAATAAGCACCATGGCATCAACCCCTCTAAAAAAAAAAAAGAGGACCCATATTTACCACTAATAAAATCCTGTTGTGTATATGTACAACATATTAATTATTCAGTCATCACCCATTAACTCAGTGGGGAACACCACAAAATGTGACATGGCAGTAGGAAGGGGGACATCCATTAGAGAATGTATCAAACTGTCAAGCAATAAAAGGGGGAGTCTAAAATTTGAAACTCATATTTTTAGGCTGTTGGCATAGCACCAACAGTTTTGACTCGGGGAGTATTAAGAGATTGAGAAGTGGAAGACATCAGAACACACTTCTAACCCTTTATATTCTTCACCAAATTCAGGCTGTACACTGGCCTGCATGTGATCAGACTGGGTCCTTCAATCAGCAATCCATGATTGAGTCACACAGATCTTACAGGTGCCCCAACAAGGTCACATCTTTGTAGCCACTGGGATTGGATGCAGTTTCCAAAGATCCACAGAGCCTGGAGGCTGTGAAGTCAGTGCTTGTGGGTAACTCCATGGGAAGCATGACCAGACTTCCTCCTGCCCTAAGACAGCCTGACCCCACAGTGAGACTGTATTTGTGCACTTCACAGAATGACAGCTGGACAGTTCCTGCTTTCCCTTGATACAAGGGATGCCATAATGATCTCTACTTGCATCTGACCCAATGTCCACAAGAAGCCATGCATGTGACATTCTATGCCACTTTTCTGCTTAACTAAAGTTTGTTTTATGCTTGAGATGCAAGGCTTCAGAGTGTATGGAACTTTCAAGTGTTCATCAGCTGTGGCAGCCTCTTCTTCCGGGGAGATACCCTCATGGAGGGCTTGCTTAAAGCCAGCATCACCTCTGTCTGCCAGTTTAGGTTGCCCCAGATTTGTACTATAACTGTTTTCAGAAAATCACCATAAGACAAATAGGAATGAAACACAGCACGCCCAGCATGAACTAGGGTCTCCATGGATACAGTAGGGAAACAGTCTTCATCTGTGACTGTAAGTTGAAATTTCCACTTCAGACCATTCCTTATATTTTTTTTACAAATATCTTTACTGATATCATGTTTATTGAGAGCAGTGCAATCATTATATTTATGGATTGTAAAGAGATGTTTCTGCATTACATGTGTAATGCAGAAAAATGAACCAAGGCAGTTATGTAGCCATCACAGCACCCATGTTTGTGCAAGACATCCTGTCAAGATTTGTTCTCTAGTATCTTAACAGAGCACATAAGCACTCGCCCCCTGCAGATCTCAGAAGTTACGCATTGAGTGCACCAGAGATGGGCTAGCCTTGGGCAGTAGATTCTATCCCTTCCTCTGGCTGTGATTGCTATCTTCTTAACTTCTGTGAGATCTTTCCACATGTGATGTCAGAAACCATTATTTGTGTCTTTCTGAAATTTATTTTATTTAATGTCCTCTGTGATTCCCTATGTTGTTACAAAAGACAGAATTCCATTCTTTTGCAGTGCTTACTAGTACCCCATTGTGTTTGCATCTCAACCACAATTTCTCCATTCATCTGTCATCAAAGGTGGCTCTATTTTCAGTCTGCTGTGAGTAACATGCCCTAAACATGGGAGGTGATTTCACATATTCCTTCAACTTCTCTATTTCAGCCTCTTTGGATACTTTCCCTGGAGGACAAATGCTCCATCACAGGGTCCTTCAAATTCCAGCTTTCCCAGGAACGGCACTGATGCTTACCACCATGACTATACTAAATTACATTCACATCAGCCATCACCAAGGGTTCCTTTTCATTTGCATCCTTGCAAGTTCTTGTCCTTTTTGCATTTTATAAAGCCGTCCTACTAGCTCTGCAATCATTTCTTACTATGGGTCTCATAGGCATTTCCCAGGGTGAGTGAGGCTGAACATCTTTCTCTGGACACAGGGTCATTTCTATGTCCTCCTTGACAGAGGCTGTTGCACATTTGGGCGTAAGCACCTTTTCAGACATATGAGTTGTAAATCTCCTTTGAACTCTACAGATCATCTTTACTTCTCATCTCCATAATTTATATTGCTGTTCAGAAACATAACTTTGATGTAATATAATTGCTCAATTTATCCTTTTTGACCTGAATTTTAGAGACAGAGCTAAAGGATTTTTGTTTGTTCAAGAAACTATTTTAAACTTCATCCCCTATATTTTCTTTGAGTAGTTTCAGATTTTAGAATGTAAGTGTCTAACTCCTCTTGAGATGGCTTTTGTGCATTCTGTAGGTTTGGACAACTTTCTTCACGTGTATGTTAATTTTCTAAGCTTCATTGTCTATATAGCCTGCCTTTTTCCTTGGGTTTTCCTGTTGCTGTTTCAAATGGCAACTGGGTGTGAAGACTAGCCATCTTTCAGGCATTCTATCCATTGTTCAGTGTTACTATTTTAAATATCAGTGCCCTGAGTTTTTGACTGCTACAGCTTTGTCATGTATTTGGAAATCAGACAACGTGAAATGAAAGATACTAACTGCTCTTTTTGCTGGGAATTGTTTTGATATTTTGATTTTGTGGTCCAATGCAAATTTATGGATTTCTTGTTTGCTTCTGTAAAATGGTGGCATAGAATCCTCGATAGTTTTCATTTCATCTGATTAAAAATTCAGATAGGATATATAATTAAACAAAATTACACTGCAAGTTATTCTGAAGAAATAGATGATCTATATACTTAGATCTTCCTCTACTCTTTCATAAAGATTGTATATTTTTTCATACACAAGTTTTTCTCTTTCTAAATTAAGTTTAAAGTTATGTATTTCTATGATAGTTGTTTCTATCACAAATGCATAATCTGAAGTTTCCTTTGGGGTATATACTCATCAATATGTAGAAACAGTATTGTTATTGCACATTGACTTTAAGTCCTGAAAATTTACTACTACAACCTATTCACCCCAAAGTAAGGAAAGAAAAAGAAATAACACCTGCAAAATCCTTACATGAAGCCAGATTACTCTAATATTCCAAACTAGGTAAAGTCATAACAAAAACAAAAATATAGACTTCTAGTCTTGGTAAACAAGATACAAAAATCCTTAATAAAGTGCTACCAAACTGAATACAGGCACATATCAGGAAAATCATCCACCATGATCAAGTTGACTTTATTCATGAAAGGCAGGATTCGTTTGTCGTATGTAAGTCAATAAATATCATTAAAACAGATATAAAGACAAAAATTCCATGATCAACTCCATATATACATAAAAACTTTTGACAATCCAACATGTTTCCTGATAAACATCCTAGAGAGAATAGAACTGGAGAGAATAGACATCAATTTAATAAAGGGTGTATATGACAAACTCACACCCAACATTAACCTAAGTGGAAAAAACTCAAAAGTTATCCACTAATAATATCAGGAACAAGGTGGGACTTTCCACGATCCCCACTTCTTTTTAGCTTTGTGTTGGAAGCCGTAGCCAGAGCAATAGAAGATAATTAAAGGGATAAAATAGATAAAGAAGTGAAACTATGCCCATTTTTAGAAGAAACAATATTATACATAAGAGATCCAAAAAAGTATATCAGAAAACTTCAAGAAACAATCAACAATTTTAGCAAAGTGGCAGGACAGAAAATCAGCTTACAAAACTCAGTAGCCTTTTTATACACCAGCACCAAACACAAGGAGAAAGAGATCATGGAAATACTTCCATTTACAATATCATCAAAGACAATAAGATACCTTGGAATAAACCAAGCTAAAGAGGTGTTAGACCTCTACAGTAAAAATGTCAATTCTCTGTTATAAAAGAGAGTTATATATATATATATATATAAACCACTATAATTGGAAAGACATCTGTGTTCATGGATTAGCAGTATTAGTATTGAGTGTTAATTCTAAGATAATTTTGGGCACTTTTTAACTTTAGAGTTGTGTCTGCCTATACCTCTGAAATAGGGAGATCTGTCTTGCTTACCATATTCTAGAGAAAGTTTCTGTGTATATGTGTGATGCTGGACACCATGGAAACTCTCTTTCATGTATAACTTTATCTGAGCTGAGGTATACTGACATCATTCCTATTGAGAGATTTGTCATCAACAAGCACTAAACTTAGCCTAATGCTTTCCTATTTTCTATTTCTATCATAGCAAATGACCTCAAATTCCAGATTTTGATTGAAGAAACTGAGTAAGTGTGGAACAATGACAGTTAATACCTAGAGTTAAGACAAAAACACTTTCACAGAATACCCAGGTTGTGTGTGAGCATGTGTATATGTGTGTTGTAAGTGTTTATTTTGTTAATTAGCTACAATACACTCCATCTGTCTACTTTCAACTAGCACTCTGACAGATTATAGATTCTAAAGACATCTACAACAACCCCT